AGAGGAGGAGGAGGAGGAGGAGGAGGAGGAGGAGGAGGAGGAGGAGGAAGACGAGGAGGAGGAGGAGCGGGGATGAGCGAAGGAGGGAAGAAGAAGGGTGGGAGGAAGAGGAAGGGGAGGAAGCCCTCCCTTCCCACCTCTCTCCTCCCTCTTCCCTCCTTCTCCCCTTCTGCCCTCCTCCTCCTCCTTCTCCTCCTCCTGCTGCTTCGCGCTTCGAGCTGCGGACATTGTCGAGCGATTCGAGCCCCGATGCCCTCAACAGCCCTCCACCCAGCCTGGGGGAGGACGGAACAAAACCAAGAGGTAAACAGAGAAGCAGGAACGACGGATCGGCGGAGCGAAGCGGAGTCCGGGGGATAGGAAGCGAGGCTGTGGGCGCGTGTGCGCGCCAGCGGGGCTGTGCGCTCGCTGATGTGGCTCTCGCCTTAGCGCCGCGTGCATTTGTTAAAGCAAAATTGCAAGTGTTCCACGGATTGAGGGCGACCCGTTTTCAAAATGTGACTCTCGCCTTAGCGGCGCGCACATTCGTTAAACAAAATTGCAAGTGTTTCAGGACGGTTCCTTTTCAGAACGTGACTCTCGCCTTGGCGCCGCGTACATTCGTTTTTAAATTGCAAGAGTTTCACGGACTTGTATGATCAACGTACCAGAAATTGCGTTGTGGAAGGATTCAGGATTATGAGGGTGCAACAGTTTCGTTGATTCGCGGCGTTGAAGTCCCAGGAAATGCGTTATGGGACGATTCCGGATCGCTAAGACGCAACAATCAGGTTGATCCGTGGCGTTGTAATCCCGAGAACAATGTTTTGACATGCTTCAGGTCTTCAAACGGTTGTCTTCCAACGAGGCGGTTCTTTCTGTGGAAGTGAACCGTTGTAGGGGCCTATGAAAAAAGGAGCTTGGAGGGAGGGTTCATTCCAATATCGTTGATGACTCCTTGGTTTACACTGGTCCTTCTCCTCCTCCTCCTTCTCCTCCTCCTCCTCCTCCTCCTCCTCCTCCCTGCTCCTCCTCCTACCTGCTCCTGTCCTCCCCCTCCTCCCCTATCGCTCCTTCCTCCCCCCTGCCTCCTCCCGCCTCCTCCCGTCTTCTCCGCTATGCCTGGCAATGTGGCTCAGGTCGAGAAGCTGTGGATCCGCAGCCGCGTCCCCGAAGGCGCGGTGCCCGGGAACTACTTCGCGGCGCGCCTGCCGCTGCCAGGATCGGGCAAGAAGGACAGCCCGCTCGCGCTCGTGTCTGTCCTCATCGCTCATCGCTCATCGCTCCTCCCTCCTCCTCCTCCTCCTGACCCTCCTCCTCCTCCTCCTCTTCCCCCTCATCTTCGCTCCTCCCTCCTCGCCCTCGATGCCTTGATGCTGCGGGCCGTGTCATCGGAACGGGCAAAGAGCCATCAAAGCCATTCCTTCGCCAGATGGGTCAGCGCCACCTGGCGGTGTGATCAGCTATGTAGCTTGGCCGCGAGACTTCGAACTTGATAAGGGGAGTGACAAGGGAGAATGGGACGACACAGCTTTTCAGCATGGGTGCCAGTTGAGCAAATACTGACATGCTTCTCCCTGTTCGTATGATTCCTGAGCCCGCATACATAAATCATTTGGGGACTCCTGGGCTGCAGGGTTGTGCTGGCCTGTTGAGGTTCCTCTTCCATTTTCACTTCTGTCTGATGTTATCCTCCTCACTTCTTCTCCCCTCCTCCTCCCTCGCCACTGTCGGGCTCGAACGGTCTGCCTTCCTGTCTGCCTTCCTGTCCTGCCTGTCGGACCCCACCCCTTTTCGTGTGCTGTCCGCTGCCGTTTTCCAGCAGGAGCCTTGCACCGTGCCGCCTTCCACGCCCCTTCAGGCTTATATTTCAAACATACCACATTCCACCTTCAGAAAGCGTTCGTTGTCCACATCTTTCCTCACTTCCTTTTCTCTAGTGGCAGCTGAGTATCATGGTCCGTTGCCACGGCCTTGCCATGACCCGCCGCGTTTCGACAGCATAGGCCCCAATCCTCTACCGCTTTCATCCCGCTGTTCATCCGCTTTTAGTCTCGCCTTCGTGCACCTATTCCCGACCATTATCGCAGGAAACGTTAGCTCCATGCCCCGGATAGTACCGTATGCATACCTCTTGCCGTTGAGAGTTGATTTTCTAGGGCCAGGACAGAATTGGTCGGGGGAGTAGGGGCGGCAAAACCGAACTTCATTATCGCCGGGGAAAGTGCGAATCGAAATTGCTAGCCTCGTATGTGAAGAAGCAACGTGATCACGAGCGTGTGGCAGGCATATGGGGTTCGCACTGTTTCAGCTTTCACAATTCACGAACTTGTGGCAGGGCCATGGGTTCATCACCGCTTTCAGCTCCCAAGTCACGAACGCGTGGCATGGCCATGGGATTCTCATCGTTGTAGCTTCCCCACGTCACGAACGTGTGGCAAAGCTGCGGGCTTGTCATTTTTCCAACATTCCCAAGCCACGAACGTGTGGCAGGGCCATCGGGTTCTCATATTTTAAGTATTTCCACTTCCCGAACGTGTGGAAGGGTTGTATAGCGCTTCGTGGCCAATAGGGGGCTCCACCGAAGGCGACACTCACAACTGCGGTACTCACAACTGCATATGGTTGGGTCCTTCGCCAGACTAACTTGACAAATGGATCTGGCGCCCCCCTCCGGTTCGCCCCCTTCCTCTAACGACGACACACTGTGAGGGCTGCTCTCCTCTCTCCCCTGGTGGCGCCCGGGAAGTGCTCGGGAGCATCCTGTGGGCCTCTCGGGAGCCTCCGGGGGGGGCGCCTCGGGCTCCCCGGGGACCTCTCGTGGGCCTCTCTTAGGGGACCTCTTCGGGCCTCCTGGTAGTGCTTTTCTCACGACGCGGGGGAGTCGCCTCCTCCTCCGCCTCCTCCTCCTCCTCCTCCTCCTCCGCCTCCTCCTCCTCCGCCTCCTCCTCCTCTCCCTCCTCCTCCTCCTCCTCCTCCTCCTCCTCCTCCTCCTCCTCCTTTCCCTCCTCCTCCTCCTCCTCCTCCTCCTCCTCCTCCTCCTGGAGGTCGTGAGCTCCGGCTCGGCGGCCCGGAGCCTCGGCTCCCCTGGGGCGGGGCCTCGCGCCGCCAACCGAGGAGGCGAAGGAGCCGGCCTCCTCGAGCGACAAGGAGAGCAGCCGCCCGCGGGCGGGCGCGGGCCGCCCGCCGGGCTGCGCGTCGGGGGGCCGCCTCTCGCGGGAAGCACTCCGCGGGGGCGAGGGAGGCAGCAGCAGGTGGAGGAGGAGGAGGTGGAGGAGGAGGAGGGAAAGGAGGAGGAGGAGGAGGTGGAGGAGGAGGAGGAGGAAAAGTAGGAAGAGGAGGAGGTGGAGGAGGAGGAGGAGGAGGAACAGGGGAAGGAGGACGACTAGTGTAAACCCAAGAGCCATCAGCGATTTTGGAATACACCCTCCCTCCAAGCTCCCTCTTCATTGGCCCCTACAATAGTTTATCTCCATGGAGGGAACTGCCTCGTTGGAAGACAACCAATCGAAGACCCTGAAGCATGCCAAAACATAGTTCTCTGGATTCAGCGCCACGGATGAAACTGACTGTTGCGTCTTGACGATCCTGGATCGTGCCAGAACGCCATTCTTGGGCTTTCAACACGGCGAATCAACGTAACCGCTGCGCTCGCAAAACCTTGAATCTTTCCAAAACACCTTTTCTGGTACGTTGATTATAGGAATCCGTGACACTCTTGCAAACTTTTTGAAACGAATGTGCGCTGCGCTAAGGCGAGAACCACATTTTGAAAACGGATTGTCAATCCGTGAAGTTCTGACAAATGTTGAGGAACGCTGTGCACAGCGCTAAGGGGAGAGCCACATTTTGAAAACGGGTCGCCCTCAATCCGTCAAGCTCGTGGAAATGTTTAGAACAGATGTGCGCGGCGTTGGGGCGACAGCCAAATTTTGAAAACGGGTCGCCCTCAATCCGTTAATTTATTGCAGATGTTTAGAACAAATGTGCGCGGCGCTAAGGCGAGGGCCACATTTTGAAAACGACCCGCCCTCCACCTGTGAAGCCGTTGCCAATTTTCAAGCTTCGGAGCCATGGGTGGTGAGGACGTCTCAGGCGAAACGCCTGGCCCGCCCTAAAACTGGCTTCGGGGTGCGACAGGGAGAAGGTATGTATGAGGAAGAATAATGAAGGAGGCGGGGGAGGAAGAGGAGGAGGTGGATGAGGAGGAGGAAAAGGACGGGGAGGGGATGACGATGATGATGATGATGATGATGATGATGATGATGATGATGATGATGATGATGATGATGATGATGATGATGATGATCATCATGATGCTGATGCTGATGCTGATGATGATGCTGATGATGATGCTGATGATGATGCTGATGCTGATGATGAGGATGATGATGATGCCGACGATGATGATGATGATGATGATGATGATGATGATGATGATGATGATGATGATGATGCTGATGATGATGATGATGATGATGATGATGATGATGATGATGATGATGATGATGATGATGATGATGATGATGATGATGATGATGATGATGAATGATGCTGATGATGATGATGATGATGATGATGATGATGATGATGATGATGATGATGATGGTGGTGGTGGGTGGTGGTGGTGGTGGTGATGATGATGATGATGACGATTGATGATGATGATGATGATGATGATGATGATGATGATGAATGATGATGATGATGATGATGATGATGATGATGATGATGATGATGAGGATGAGGAGGAGGAGGAGGAGGAGGAGGAGGAGGAGGAGGTAGAGGAGGAGGTAGAGGAGGAGGAGGAGGAGGAGGAGGAGGAGGAGGAGGTGGCTAGTTTGGGGCTAGCCATCAAAGCCGTGGGCAGCAACCCAAGAACTGCACGGCGGAGGGACCGATCTGCCTACCACATTTTATTCTTGTGGCCAGCCTCATCCTACAGGCCAGCTTGAGCAATATGCAGGATACCGATAGTAACCGCCTCGTCTGTTTTATTGATCAAGCCGCAGACCATCCATTTCAGCACGCCCGATACTATACTTGGCGGAGGACGGTGGGATGTTTGTGGTTGATGGTGGTGGAGGAGGACACCGAGCGGGCTGATACGCCACTGGCTGTCTTTCTCAGGTGCCACACCATACACGTGAGCAATTTGCCCACGTCTAAGGAGATCTAGCTCCAGCTGCATACTACCCAGCAGCAACTACCAACCGCACGCGCTCGACTTTCTTGTCTGGCCTCACATCAAGCAGTAGACCCTCGCGCCACTCGATCCCATCCGCTGATGTGACTTACACCCTTTCTTTGCTCCGCGGCGCTGACCGACACGTTGGTGGCTCCTCATTCCCACCTCCAGGTTCTGTTAAGCATCACAGCGTCGTTCGCGGCATTCGTTTTAGTGTTTCTTGCCATCCGAGGTGGCGCAACCTATTATCTTGACGGGGTTGAGGGGGTACTTATTTATTGGGTTAGTGCCAACCCCGAGGACTTGGGGGGGCGCCTTTTTATTATTACCGGACTGAGCTTTACTTTTTTTTTCAGCGGCGCAGGAGAACAGTCCGAACACAATTCTTCATACCAATGTAATAAAATCTTTCGATGGTTAATACTACGAATAGTGGTCTTGATATTTCTATTAATAACATCAGCAATACTAAGAACCAATTTATTTTAATAGTATTCGTACTCATAGCCATAATATCAATATCAACCGTGGCAGGAAAAAGACGAATCTGAATACTATGAAACACACTAAGCTTAATAAGACTATTACGACCAAGCGTAACAATAATCGGAAGAAGACGCGTGATAATAATAGTACGAAGACGAATGTGAATAAGACGGATCTTAGTAACCACGACTACTATGAAGAAGCCGAAATTGAGTATCATGAATAGTCACAAGAAGGATATACATAATGAGAATACTATCACGGATTCACAGCATTAATACATTATAATACATAGCAGTATTAATACTACAAGGGGTAATCTTATTGTTTAATGACAATGCGAACAATACGAGTAAGACAACTGTGAATACTATTGCTTTTAATAATACGAGTTCCAATGACAATCATATTCATAAGAATACCACCAAGAATAATGCAACACTTCATCACATTAATGTGAATAAAACTAGTATGAGGAGGAGGACGAAAAGGAGGAGGAGAAGGAGGAGGATGAGGACGAGGACGAGGACGAGGACTAGGACTAGGACGAAGAGGAAAGCAGCGTAGCAGAAGCGCTGGCCGCGCGGCAGGAGGGCGCTGCGCCGCTGCTGGGGCCCGAGGCGACCGAGGGGTCAGGCATCGGCGCCTGAGGCGTCCCGGCCTGTCGGGCGTGGGCCGCGTGCCGTCGCCGTCCGTTCGGTGCGCGGCAATGGCCAACTTCGTTTCACGGCTTGCCCAGGCGCCTGCCCAGACGTTTTAATTTGCCTGTCCGGGTGAACATATCCAGATGCGCTGCTTCGCGTGTCCGCTGCTGGTTATCTGGCGTGTCACCTCATGTCCGGTATTACCCACTCTCTGGAATCGTCCTTGGAGCCGCAGATCAAAAAAAAAGTGTCCGCTGCTTTGCGATAGAAATGCTGCGGGACTCACTCGCTCTTCCGGCATCCTGGGGGCCTTTTTGGGGGCGGGGCTTGTCGGATTTTTCCCTACTTAGGCTCTGCCTAGAAGGGTTCTTACTCTCTAGCTTAAAGGGGCCGGGCAGTGGAAAGCGCCCCGGGCGGTTCCCCCAGTCCCCGCCCCGCGGTTCCCCCAGTCCCCGCCCCCTGGGTTCACCCAGCTTAGCTTAGCTTAGCTTAGCTAAGCTTAGCTTGGCTTAGCTTAGCTTAGCTCAGCTTATCTCATATTAGCTTAGCTTAGCTCAGCTTAGCTTTGCCTAGCCTAGCTTAGCTAAGGTTAGCCTAGCTCATCTTAGCTTAGCTTAGCTGAGCTTAGCTTGGCTTTGGCTTAGCTTAATTTAGCATGGCTTAGCTTAGTTTAGCTTAGTCTAACTTAGCTTTGCTCAGCTTCGCCTAGCCTAGCTTAGCTTAGCTTAGCTTAACATACCTTAGCTTAGTTTAGCTTAGCTTAGCTTAGCTTAGCGCAGCGCAGCATAGCGCAGCGCAGCATGAGCACAGCATAGCATAGCATAGCATCGCCAAGCATAGCATAGCATAGCATAGCATAGCATAGCATAGCATAGCATAGCATAGCATAGCTCTGCATAGCATCGCATAGCATATCCTAGCATTGCATCGCATAGCATAGCATAGCCTTGCTTAGCATAGCACAGCGCAGCATAGCATTGCATAGCACAGCACATCACATCATAGCATAGCATATCATAGCATAGCATATCATAGCGCAACATAGCATAGCATAGCATAGCATAGCACATTGCAGCACATAATGTCATATCATAGCCTCGCATAGCATAGCATAGCCCAGCATAGCATAGCATAGCATAGCGCAGGATAGCATAGCATAGCATAACACTACTACTACCGCTACTGCTACAACTGCGACGACTAATATTGCTCTCCTAGGGGCTCCAACTCCTAGGTAGGGTCGCTCTGGGATATTTTTTTTCTGTGGTTTATCGGTAGTTCACTGCCAGCCTTTTCGGTTCCCGTGGCCGTCTTGGAGTTTGTGTCCCTGGGGGGGCGCCTTGCTGTTTCTGAATTCTGTTTCGGATGTATTTTGTCGGTGTTCGTACATCTTGGTGCTATCCTGGATCGTCGCGGGGTCGTTCATCCAATGGCCCTCCGTCCCTCAAAGGGGGCTTGAGGGTATCCCAGGCGTCAGGGGAAGTGTTTTGAGCGTCCCTCTGGCGCCAGGGCAGGGTGAGACGGGCGGAAGGCCGATAATTTTAGTATCGTTTTTCCGAGGGTAAGACGCTACTATTCGTTTCAATGTTTGCCAGCTTGCGCCCCGAGCAGTGGGTGTGTTCTTGCACTCTCAACGTGCGTGTTTTGTTGTGCAGTCACAGTGCAATCTATATTATGGTGCAAGTTGTGTGCTGCATTTTCCTGGGTGTGCCGTATCTTGTCCAGTGTATGTGGTGCATGAGAGATCGGGCAGCGTACGGGGTGCAGGCAATGCGATGCAATAGACTTGGTGCGGGATGCTTGGTGCACGCTGTGTTGACTCGTTGAGGCGCGAGCCAGTGCACGGGGAGGCCACGAGGCGCCCACGGATGGGCACCGGGCGACAACCCGGAGACGCCCGCCAGCTCACGGGGCGGCCACGAGGAGCCCACAGGTGGCAGCCTGGGCGGGAAGCCAGAAACGTGGGCAAATTTTCGATCAACCAAGTAGGACCCCCTTGGTCCAAACACTTCATGGGGAACAAGAGGTTGGTCGCCGACTCAACTACAGTGCTGGGACATCTCTGAGATGATTCTGTTTGAGGGGCCCCTTTCTGAAGCGATGTGGGCACAATCCAGGGAGGGTCGTGTCGATCGGGTCAGCGAAGGCTACGGAGGCTCAACTGAGCCAAGCTATTCTCAACTGTTTGCCAGCGTGGACTCCAAACAGTGAGCTAGTACACTCTGGATGTGGAGCTCAACTATGTTGATACGCGGCGCGAAAACGACCACAGCCACTGTCTTTCTTTTGTTGTCGCCTTCCAGCCCGCAGAAACAAAGCAGTGGCTGTGGTCATTTTCGTTGACCTTGGCACCAGGGAAATGACCACAACCACTGCTTCTTTTTCGGCCGGCTGGAAGGCGGCGCAGACAAGAAGCAGTGGCTGTGGTCATTTTCCCGTCCCGCAGTTGAGCAATCTATGTGGTGCAAGCTACACGGTGCAACCTGTGAAGTGCAAACTAGACGGCCTATGGCATGTGGCGTCGACGAGGCGCCCACGGGAGGCGACCAGGCAAAAGCCTTTGAAAACCCAGGCAGCGCAGAAGCCGCCCACAAACCGCCCACGGGCGGTGACTGGGCGAAGAATAGCCAGAAGCTCATGCTGGCGCCAACGGGGCGCCCCCCGGGTGGCGACGGGGTAGAAACCTGGAAGCCCATGCCAGTGATTCAGAGAACGAGGAAGAAAACCCCTTGGTGCAAGCACTGTTCGGGGGAACGGGGGGCCTCTCTTTGGGCCGTTTCGTGGGGAGGCCCCCATCGCTGCCTCGCAGGGAGCAGCCCCAGACATCCGATGGGGCCCCCGGACGTTCGGACCCCGTCCCCGTGGCCCATTTTGCATCTCGGGCCGTTTTTCGCCCAAGGCCGAACGAGGGCCCCGAGAACTCGACAGCGGTCAAAACCTTCATGTCGTCATTTTTGGAACATTTTTCCCTACGATCCTGTGGTGTTGGGTCCTCGTTCAAAAGGGTCCCCTCGTCTCCGTCCTTTCTTCCTTCCTTCCTTCCTTCCTTCCTTCCTTCCTTCATTCCTCCCCTTCCTTCATCCTCCCATCCCTGTCTTTGCCCTGCGCATGTCAATCTGTTCGGCACAGCCCTCGCACGCTTCGTGGCTCCATATGGAGCTCCACTGAAGGCCCCAGTGTCAAAGTCCACCTGCGGTTCCCCGCCCATCTCGGCACAGTCCTCAGACGGCTCGTGGCCCCATATGGAGCTCCACAGAAGCTCCCATCGGCACGGTCCACATTCGGCTCCCCGTCCAATGGGCACACCCCTCACACACTTCGTGGCCTCCTATGGAGCTCCACCGAGGGTTCCACCGGTAAAGTCCCTATGCGGTTCCCCGTCCATTTGGGCGCACCCTTACACTCTTCGTGGCCCCGTAGGGAGCTCCACCGAAGGCCCCAGTGGCAAAGTCCACATGCGGTTCCCCACCCATTTCGGCACACCCCTCACAAGTTTCGTGGCCCCATACAGTGCTCCACCGAAGCTCCCACCGGCACGGTCCACATGCGGTTCCCCGCCCACTTGGGCACACCACTCACACGTTTTGTGGCACCACAGGGGGCTCCACCAAAGGTCCCAGAGGCACGGTTCACATGCGGTTCGCCGCCCATGTCGGCACACCGAGCTCCACCGAAGGCTCCACTGGCAAAGTCCGCATGCGGTTCCCCGCCCATGTCAGTGCACCCCTCACAAGTTTCGTGGCCCCATAGGGAGCTCCACCGAAAGGTCCCAGTGGTAAGCTCGCATGCGGTTCCCCGCCAATGTCGGCACAGCCCTCATACGTTTCGTGGCCCCGTAGGGAGCTCCACCGAAGGCCCCAGTGGCAAAGTCCACATGCGGTTCCCCGCCCATATTGGTACACCCCTCGCACGTGTCGTGGCCCCATGGGGAGCTCCACAAAAAGCGGTGCATGCTGGTGCTCGCGCGCATATTGTGGCGATCGCAGCGCACCCCCCCACGACGTGCCCCACCCTGCCCAAGCGTCATTGTTACCTGGGGCCCAGGTACTCCCCCACCCCGTTACCGGAAATAATTAGTAAAAGAACAACCTTGTGCCTATCTTCAGGTTCGTTTTGTGGAAGGCCTCCATCGCAGCCTCGCAGGGAGCAGCTGTCTCGTCACCGCTCTGGGCCTCCCAGTTCGCGTCGGAGGACCGCGCCGCATCGCCGATGCATCGGCGATGCGGCTCGATGTGGAGTTCGACTTCCTCCACGCCAGCGTCGCCGATGCATCGCTGACGTCTCTGAGCATCGGTGATGCATCGACGATGCGGCACCGGGCCTCGCGGCACGCTGTACGTCGGCAGGCCTGCCGCGCCGAGTCTGCAGGTCGCGGCGGCGGGTCTCGGATTCACGAATTTTGTAAAATTAGCATAGACACCCCGCGGCAGAGCCGAGGGCACGAGCAGTGCGCGGAGGGCTACAAGGCTGCAGTGAGGGCCACGACGTGGTGGGGGGAGGTGGGCGAGGAGGCCAGGGCTGCAGCGTTGGATGCGATGTCCAGGGAGGCAGTGCCCCCACTGGATCAGAGGAGGCACAGCTGACAATCTAGGCTTCTTGAGCTGCGGTCAACACAGGAGGCAGAGGATGGGGAGGGGGGAACGGGGGATCTGGGACGAGAGGTAGTAATTAGTGGGAGGAGGGGGCTGGGATTTTGGGGCTGCACTGCACAGCGGATCAGGTGCGGACGGGACCCCGCTCCTCTGTGACAACATCCCTTCCCCATACGCACAAAAGGGTTCGAGCGGACTGAGGGTGGGAGGGAGGGAGAGAGGGAGGGAGGCAGGAATGGATGATGATGATGATGATGATGATGATGATGATGATGATGATGATGATGATGATGATGATGATGATGATGATGATGATGATGATGATGATGATGATGATGATGATGATGATGGAGGAGGAGGAGGAGGAGGAGGAGGAGGAGGAGGAGGAGGAGGAGGAGGAGTAGGAGGAGGAGGAGGAGAAGGAGGAAGAGGAAGAGGAGGATGAGGAGGACCATAGTAAACGCAATATGTATCTGCGATGTTGCAATACGCCCAACCGTTCCTAGCCCTCTCCCTACAATCCCCTTACGATAATTCTTTTCCAGGGAAGTGGCCCCCTGAAAGATAAGCGCCTCATGGTTTGGCAATTCAGACGAGAGCCCCGCTTTGAAAGGGGGATGCCGCCCCTGCTTCTGGCTATAGGGACAGCGACGAGGTAGGATCACACAGTTCAAGGAATGTCCCAGCTCAAAGGAAGAGCCGCCCTCAATCCGTGTGTTGTTTGTGTAGCTTTGAACGTCTGGCCATAACACCTCAGGAAGCTCCGAGCGAGAGGCCTGAAGAAGGGGCCACCCTCCATTCGTGTAGCTGTTGGCAACGTTTCAGACGAATGTGTGCGGCGCTAAGATGATAGTAACAGTTCGGAAACGCCACCTCCATCGATGAAAATATGGGAAGGCTCCAAGGCGCTAAGGCCAGAGCTACCAACTCAGTCCGCGTAATTGCTGGACGCTTTCGGGACGAAAGTGCGCGGCGCCAAGGCGAAAAACTGCACTTCGATCCCCCTCCATCCGTGTAACTGTTTTGAATTTACAAGCTTCCGGGTCATACATTCGGACGAGGTCTCAGGCGAAATTCTCGGCCAGCCATGCCGACACGCTTTGTGGTCAGACGAGGAGGAGTTATCCAGCTGCCTCCAGCAAGTCCCGCCACCAGGTCAATCCCGGCTCCTTGAGTGGCGACTGTTCGGATGTCGCACATCCGTAAGCTGTGACACCTCGTGCTCCGAGGCTTGGGAGCGCCGCAACACGTCATACACTCTTTCGCGTCGTGCTTGGGGTATTCTTCTTTTCTTCGTCGTCTTCTTCGCTCTCTCTCTCTCTATTCCGTCCTTTCTTGGGCTCCTGTGGGGCGGTTTTTGGGGTCCCTTGTGCCACTTCGGGTCGTCTTGGGGCCCTCTTGGGCCGTATTTAGGCTGTCTTGGGCCGTCTTGGGCCCCTCCTGGCCTTCTTGCAGCTGTCTTTCGACCGCGTCTAGGCCCATGTTGGGCTATCTTGAAGCCGTCTTGGAGGAGTATTGAGCTATGTCGGGGCTTCTCTTGGGCCATGCTGGGGCCATCTTGGAGGCCTCTAGGGTTGTCTGGAGCTGCAGGAAAGACGGAGAGGTGGAGACGCCATTTTTTGGGGAGGCTCCATGATTTCGGCTTCCTCGGGTCTTACTCGGGGTCCTCCTGTGGACCTCGTGGGCCATCTTGGGGGCCTCTTGGGCCGTATTGATGCCACCTCGGGCCGCCTTGGGGCAATCTTGGGCCGTCTTGGGGCAATCTTGGGCCGTCTTGGAGGCGTCTTGGGCCGTCTTGGGGCCTCTTGGGCCGTCTTGATGCCATCTTGGGCCGTCTTGAGGCCACCTTGGGCCGCCTTGGGGCCATCGTGGGCCGTCTTGGAGGCGTCGTGGGCTATATCTCGGCGGCCTGGGTTGCCTGCCTCGGCCGTCCTGGAAGCTCGGGAGCGCGGTTCCATAGTTTGTTATTCCACCTCCTCCTCCTCCTCCTCCTCCTCCTCCTCCTCCTCCTCCTCCTCCTCCCCCTAGGCGATCCTCCTTTTCCTCCTCCTCCAGCTTCCTCCTTCTCCCCCTCCTCCCTCGACCCTCGGTATTTGGGATCGTAACCTCCGGACGACCTCGGGAGTGCGGATCCAGCTTTGAACAAGGGATCGTGGGCTCGGCAGGGGGGTGTGCACGTAGCACTCTGTGATGAACGGGGGGGAAATAGTCCCTTCGAGGATTGCCGAACCCCTACCGGGCAGCTCTCGGCTCTCTACCACGCCTCAAGGTGCTAGGTGGCACGGTGGCGGACATAGAAGGAAAAGGGATGGATGGATGATGGTGATGATGCTGATGATGCTGCTGATGATGATGATAATGTTGATGGTGGTGACGGTGGTGATGCTCGTGATGGTGGTGGTCGTGGTGGCGGTGGTTATGATGATGATGATGATGATGATGATGATGATGATGCTGATGCTGATGCTGATGCTGATGATAATGATGATGATGATGGTGATGATGATGATGATGATGGTGATGGTGATGGTGGTGGTGATGGTGATTGTGGTGATGGTGATGGTGATGGTGATGGTGATGGTGATTGTGATGGTGATGGTGATGGTGATTGTGATTGTGATGATGGTGGTGATGGTGATTGTGATAATGATGATGCTGATGATGACGCTGATGATGATGACGATGATGTTGATGTTGTTGTGGATTATGATGCTGCAGATGCTGACGATGATGATGATGCTGATGATGATGCTGATGATGCTGCTGATGATGATGCTGCTGCTGATGATGATGGTGATGATGATGCTGATGCCGATGATGATGATGATGCTGATGATGTTGATGACGACGATGATGATGATGGTGATGATGGTGATGATTATGATTATGATGCTGATTATGATGATGATGATGATGATGATGGTGGTGGTGATGATGATGATGCTGATTATGATGATGCTGATTATGATGATGCTGATTGATGATGATGATGATGATGATGATGATGATGTGATGATGATGATGATGATGATGATGATGATGATGATGATGATGATGATGATGATGATGATGATGATGATGATGATGATGATGATGATGATGATGATGATGATGATGATGATGATGATGATGATGATGATGATGATGATGATGATGATGATGATGATGATGATGATGATGATGATGATGATGATGATGATGATGATGATGATGATGATGATGATGATGATGATGATGATGATAGTGATGATACGAATTCGAATGCGAACCCATCGGAGGCGGCGCCGTCGATCCCATGCCCACGAATGCCTCTAGGATCGGGCTACACCCGAACATAAGTATGCGATGCGCGACCATGCATCTCGCGGCTTGCAACTGCTCACAGTCACTGCCGCAGTGCGCCCAACAGGAGCCCAATAGCAGCGTTCTGATCGGCCGTGCTCCAGCTCTCGTAAAACTCTGAACCCCTCTGGACTCCAACCGAAGCTGTGTGACTCGAAGCTGCACGGGTCCCTGGCACCGAGGCAGGCCCCTCGGAGGCCTCGAATGCCGCGAACGGTCCTCCCACAAGCTACGCGACTCATTCGGGGATGGAGGAGGAGGAGGAGGAGGAGGAGGAGGAGGAGGAGGAGGAGGAGGAGGAGGAGGAGCGGGGGAATCCGAAAGCGGAGGAGGAGTGGGGGTCGCCTGGGCTCTTAGGGCAGCCTGGCACAGCCTACTCACCATCTCAGAGTGTCGTCGTCGTCGTCTCTCCTCGGGCCTCTCGAAGGCCGTCTGCTCTAAGTTCAGTCGAACATCGCCCCGTCGAGCTCCTGGAGTCCTGTGTGGATCAGTCTCTCGAGGTGGCCCATCGGGGCCATTCCCTGCTTGTAGTCCGCTCCCGCCTGGATCAGCGAGTCCAGCACGGGCGCCATGTTCAGCCTGCCGCTGAACGCTAGTATCAGCTTCACCTTTCCCTCCTTGTAGCAATTCGTGGTCTTCGCCAGCGGGACCACTTCGCCCATCTCGGCGACCGTCAGCTTTGCCTGCTCGCTCGCCAGGGTCTCGAGGTTCTGCTGGCTCACTCGCCCTACCGCGTTGCCCTCGGCTAGCAGCCCCTGGAACACGTCTGCGTAGCACGTCACCGAGATCGTGCCAATCGGCTTGATTGTCTCGTCGCTCTGCTGCTTGTTGTTGTTGGCCCTGCTGCCTTCTGCTGCGCGTGTCCACGCACGTACTCGTCCCCTCTCCTTCATTGCCGGCTGCAATCTCGAGGACATGCTGAATGCCTTCAACTCGATCGACTCGATTTGTCGCTACCGCTGGGCCAAGTTCAGCAGCAGCCGCATCATCACAGGGAAAAACTTTTGCATCTTGGCTACGTCCATCTCGCCGTCGTCGAGCTCGCCCAGGTCCACTATCTTGGTGTCCTTCTTCCCCGGCATCTGGTCGCTCGAGCCCCTGCCTCTGGTGCTGTCTGCTCTGCCCGCAGAGCCTCTGCGGCCTCCTCTGACAGCCCTGCGTGCGCGGCCCTCGTTGTCGTCCTTCCAGCTGATGTCTGGCAGGCCCTGCATCCACGACATGAGGCCGTGGACTCGGAAGGTGCCTGCTACAGATATACTTCTGCAGAGAGGTGAGATCGTCGAACTCCGCGCCACAATCCGTCTTGGGACAATCAAATAGCTGCGGAGGGACAACGGGATGATTGTAGACAGCGGTCTGCGATGCATCTTCCATGCCGATACGCTGCTTTGATGTGCTGAATGGCGGAGCGGCGGCATGCGAACGCCGAAAGGCACCAGGGGTATTGATTGGTCACCGTCAGACGCGTAAAGAAATTCAACTTGCCGTGCTCTCCTCCTCCTGTGTGTGTCTGGTGCGTTGCGAGGGCTCTCATTGTTCTGAATCTGTGATTGCACTCCATCCGCTCCCCATCCAGCAGAGAGCACAGGAAGCCGCCCTCGAAACACTCCTGATCCTCGTATTGCCGCGTCGCCGTCACCGTGGGACTCTACAGCCAACGTCAAAATTGTGAAGCCTCTCCGTCAGCGCGGGAGCCAGGAAAACCCGCATGTGGTTATCGCCTACGTCCTCCAGATAATACAGTCCCCCTCGAAGATTCCCCAAGAAAAGCAAATCGTTCTTGAATTTCAAGGCCCACGGGTTCGTACGGTCCTTGGGGGTCATGGTTGGGGCACACACTGGCGCCCAGGATACGTTCTGAATCCCAGCGTTCTCGAACGCCACTTTTCCGAAGATAGCAGCCAGCCCCTGAGCATGCAGGTGGGGACGGCGGCCAAGAGCTTGAAATCGGCGAAGCTGTCGTATCCGCAGCTCGACTTTCGGGGGGGCCACCTCGATCCGCTTCCAGACGGCTTCCGCGCACACAGGCGTGACCTTCCACCGCTCTTCCTCCCCTTCCTCGGTGTTCAGCTGTCTGTATATGGCGATGTCATGGCATAGCGCAGCAGCATACCTGGTAGAGACCGTGCCGAGCCGCTTTGACTGTTCTACCGTCAGGACCCTCGCCTCGAGACCAGCCAGCGCAGCCCTTAGGACACGAGCCCGAAACACCAGGCGCCTCCGAGGGAAACTCTGACAGGTATTCCAGAACTTCTCCATCCCCCTCCAGCCCACTCGCATAGCAGCGCACCTAGCTCGGATCTTCTCGTCGTTTCGTCCCAAGGTCTGCGTGTGAGCCCGCAAGAAGACCCAAGTGGCCTGGACCTCCCCCGAGATGAGGACCTTGTGGTAGTGCAACGCTCGGGCAGACCTCTGGGACCCACGACCCACGAACCATTTCCCTCGGCTCTGGGCGAGGCCAACTCGTCACAGGGCGGTGTCTAGATGCCGATCGGAGACTTCAACCCGTAGGACTGCACTGCGCGCGTCTGGGATGGTGGGTACATGTGAGGTCATCGGCGTACTTCCTCACTCCCAGGTCGCAGTTCTCTCGGGTAACGGCACAGCCTGCGATCATCTCGTGCACTGTCGTGGTGGGAAAGAGATCTTTCCGCCACTCTTGCGTCGATGTCTCGAACGCCAGTCGGAACTTCGCAGCTGCATCTGCGTCGCCCATGAAACATCCCACTCCATTCCGATACGTGCCTGTGCCGTCGCACGCTTGAACAACGCATGCTGTGTTGCGATGACGCGTAAGCACAATCTCCACACTTTCCTCCCGACACATCTGATGTATTGTGTAGTCCAAATGCCGGGGAGACGCGAGCGAACGCGTTCTTCGTGTCGTTCTTAGTAGTGATGTGGCTCAGGCCCGTCGTAGCCGCCACTGCAATACATTGCCAACCGTCAGCGCACCCACACGTGAACGGCCTCGTAAATATCCATGGTCCTCTGCTGGTGGTCGTAGTCCTTCTCGTGGTCGTCGTGCTCCCACCCATGCCTTTCCCAAACTGCGTAATCCGTGCAGTAGCCGCGTGCCTCGTTTCCTCGGCTTGTGATTTATCTTGCTCACCTGGTGCGTCTGTGAGAGGTTCCACCGCGCATCGAGTCTCCGATGCTGTCGCATCGCCGCCAGCTGTGCCAGTAGGAACTCCTGTAAAGTATGGTCCCGCACTTGGCAGTCGATCTTCTCTTGCATCGTCGTGATGCTAGGCACGAGAGGAGCATGCTCCACACCTCCGTTGCCATAGACCATGACGGGGCTGCCCGTGGACGTCGTAGTCGTGGGCTGACGCGGTGGAGATGAAGTCCTCGGTCGCAGCGGGTGTCGCCTCCGTTCCCCCTTCACTCTGCCAGGTGGGGCCACGTCCTCCGTCCATGTCTGCAAGTCTGGCCGCGCATCTGGTACGATGTAGTGGTTCCGCTTTCGCGGTGCCAGCCCATGTCCAGCCAGTTGAAAACTGATGCGCCACGCCACGTCCTCTCTACTGGTGCGGATAGTCTCCTCCAGTTCCCGGTCGAGATCTCGCTGGCGCGCAATCTTGATGTCCTGCCTGGCCTGCTTGCATCGTCGCGTACACTGTCGCGGTCGTCGTATATTATCCAGCTCGTCGTCCAGCGTATCACGAGCTCTGGTGCGCGCTCGTAGCGCAACCTCCCGTTCCCGTGCTAGTCGTACGTACCATTGTGGTCTGTGTCGTCGTGTAGTGCCGTAGTTATGCTGCGCTCTACGCTGGATTGTAGTCATTATTGCCTCCCATGCCGACTCCAATGTATGTTGCCTCATCCACGCATCTACCTGCAGGTATCCGTCATTCCGTGGTGGCTGTCCTAGTGCGTTCTCCACTTCGTCACGTAGTTGCTGTGCTTCCTCCTCATCTCGCATCGCTCGGCTGAGTGAGCAATAATCCTAGATAGCGCCATTTTTCTGTGGGGCGCCATATGTAAGTTTGTACCCGAGCTCTGCCACGATGATAATGTGATCTAAAATCGTCACGCTGGGGATCGCCCTTACTCCCCGTGTCAAAGTGTAGGCTACCGCGCATTTTTAACACGTCCCATCCATGGAGAACATATCACCAGGTGATCTATGTAACTGCAGCTCCGATGTCCATAGTATGTGGGTCCGCATGGATACCAACTCGTAACTGAAGCCAGTGCATTATCCTCCATCCATTCTCTATAGCGTGTGCCTGCTTGGTGCTCTTGGCTTCTGCCGTGTGGCCCCAGGCTGGGGCTATGCGCCACTTGCACCAGCCCATCGATAGACCTGATACCTATGCCATCGTTGAGGTCTGTCGCCGCAATCGTAGACCACCTGTTCGGGGTCCCTCATAGTCTGAAGTAGTTTCACCGAGTTGCGTACCGCCGCTTCGTACCGTGGGATCCCCTTCGCGTCCGAGCACCGTGGAGGGAAGCAGCTGACAACACATGTGAAGTCATGCTGGCTAGACCTGACTCGAACTGCACCCAGCCGTCCTTGTAGTGCAGATGGGACCGTCCAGGAGTGCACCAGTTGGTTCTTGTGGGACCTCCTGTGGTTCAGCCATATCTCCACTCCACACGATTTGTTCACCATCGTGCCCCTCTCGCCGTTCCATCCAAACTTGATCATGATAAACTGTTCATGCTGCACCACATCATAAGGCGTAGGAGAGTCGCGCTGCTTCGTCGCTGTCGTGTCGGCCAGCAGCACCACATCCGCAAATCGCAGCTGCTGCGCCACCCCCAGTCGCCTGTCATAAGCGCTGAGAGAACGAGGGTTCCATTGCGCGATCTTCATGTGGGTGGTCGCACATCGCAGCGCCGATGAGAGGTGGAAGAGGAGGGCTGCGGAACTGGCCCTCATGTCCCTGTGACCACGGGCCAGGGCATGATGGTGATGGTGGTGGTGGTGGTGATGATGATGATGAGGATGATGATGCCGATGCTGATGATTCTGATGATGATGCTGCTACTAATGGTGATGGTGGTGATGGCGGTGATGGTGACGGTGATGGCCATGGTGATGTTCATGGTGATGATGGTGGTGGAGGTGGTGGTGGTGGTGGGTGTGTTGGTGATGTTGATGATGCAGCTGATGAGGATGACGACGACAACGACGACGACGATGATGATGCTGATGATGCTGATGATGATGGTGATGCCGATGATGATGAGGAGGAGGAGGAGGATGAGGATGATGATGATGAGGATGATGCTGAGGATGCTGATGACGCTTATGATTATGATGTTGATGCTGCTGCTGGTGATGATCACGCTGATGCAGGTGATGAGGATGATTATGATGCGGGCGATGCTGCTAGTGATGATGATGATGAGGATGATGATGATGCTGATGATGATGATGATGCTGATTCTGATGACGACGACGATGATGATATGATGATGATGACGATGCTGATGATGATGATGCTGATGATGATGATGATGATGATGCTGATGATGATGATGATGATGTTGATGATGATGATGCTGATGATGATTATGATGATGATGATGATGCTGCTGCTGATGATGATGATAATGATGATGATGATGATGCTGATGATGATGATGATGAGGATGAGGATGAGGATGAGGATGATGATGATGATGATGATGATGATGATGATGATGATGATGATGATGATGATGCTGATATGATGCTGATGATGATGATGAGATGATGAGATGATGATGATGATGATGATGATGATGATGATGATGATGATGATGATGATGATGATGATGATGATGATGATGATGATGATGATGATGATGATGATGATGGGCAGGAGGAGGAGGAGGAGGAGAGGAGGAGGAGGAGATGCTGAGGAGGAGGAGGAAGAGGAGGAGGAGGAGGAGGAGGTATAACAGAAACACCAGAGAGAGCAGGACCAGGAGCTGCAGGAGGATTACCCCTTTGAATATCTCCCTCGGGCGCCCTCGAACCTTAAGGCAAACCTTGAACCATCTATATTTTCCCTTCTCCCTCGTGTCATCCTACCCTCCTAACCTTTACCTCCTACCTCCTTCCTCCCCCCACTCCTTCTGGTCCTTGGCCGATCTGGTACCTTGTGGGGAGGTGGCTGCGTCTGAGCGATCACCGTGGCCTGTATCATCCCCTCTCTGGGGTCGCTGCTCCAGCTGCAGCCTTCTCTCTTACCCCTCGCCTCCGTTGTGTGCCCAGTCTCCCTCCTCCATGGAACCTTCGTGGCACGGTGTCCAGGCCAGCTCGAGGGAACACTGTCAACAATTTGTTTCGCCTGTGCAGGCCTGCGTGGACGCGGTGGCCGCTGCAATTGGCGTCAGACCGTTTTTGTTTCCCCACCGTCCTGTGGTGCTGGCCCTCGTTTCGAAGAGACAGTCCCCGTGTCTTCTTCCTTCCTTCCTTCCTTCCTTCTTCCCCTCCTCCCTCCTGTCATCCCTACCTCTGCCCTCCGCATGTCAACCTTTTCGGCGCACCCATGACACGTTTCGTGGCCCCAGAGGGAGCCCTACCAGGCCCTATTGGCAATGTCCACATGCGATTCCCCCCCATTTCGACACACCCCTCACACGTTTCGCAGCCCCATAGTGAGCTCCACCGAAGGCCCCAGTGGCAATGTGCACATGCGGTTCTTCCCCGCTCTTTTCGGCACACCCCTCGCACGTTTCGTGGCCCCATAGGGAGCTCCAGCGGAGGCCCCAGTGGCAAAGTTCAATGCGGTTCCCCGCCCATTTTGGCAAACCCTTCACACGTTTCGCGGCCCCATAGGGCGCTCCACCGAAGGCACCAGAGGCAAAGTTCGCACGCGGTTCCCCGTCCATGTTGGTGCACTCCTCACACGCTTCGCGGCTCCACATGGCACGGTCTACCTGCGGTTTCCCCGCCCATGTTGGCGCACCCTTCACACGTTTCGCGGCCCCATAGGGCGCTCCACCGAAGGCACCAGAGGCAAAGTTCGCACGCGGTTCCCCGTCCATGTTGGTGCACTCCTCACACGCTTCGCGGCCCCACATGGCACGGTCTACCTGCGGTTCCCCGCCCATGTTGGTGCACCCTTCACACTTTTCGTGGCCCCGTAGGAGGTTGCACCGAAGACGGTGCCCACAACGCTGTACTCACAACTGCATATGGTTGGGTCCTTCGCGAGGATTTGTTTTTGGGGGGCGGATGGGCGTCGACACTTTCGCACACGCCCTGGGAAAACGAATCCACGTGGTGGTGCTGGCATCCCTCCTGCTCGCCCTGCCGGTGGTTGAGAGGCCGAGCCCGATTGGGGGGTCGCTGTGTTGCTTGGCCCTTGGCGAGATGTCTCCCCTGACCAGCCCCGAAGGCTAGTGGACCCACTGCGCGCCGCCGCTCACCACGCAGGTGCCCAGCACGCGACGGCCGAGTCAAGAGGCCGCGCGCGCAGCAGGGAGGATGAGCGAAGGGGGAGCACCAGTGATGAGACGAGGAAGCCCGCCCTGCGGCACCTTGGCGACTGCCTCGGTGCCCCGCGCCCCCCTCGCCAAGGCCTTGGCGTCTCACGGGGCTCCATGCCTGCCCTTCAGCTGGGCTGTCGGCGGTGCCGCACTCCCTGTAGCCTGGTTTGCTTTCGTCCCGCCCTGTTGGCTGGAGCCCGCGCCCCTCCAGCCCATCCCCGGTGCCTCATTGGTTAATCATCCCCATCGTTGAGGTCTTGGGATGGGCCTCAGCCAGGGCTCTCCAGCCTGGCTGGACCGACGGTGTGGGTGACACGTGCACGGCTGCCTGCTAGCGGCTCGTCCTGGCATGGGGCCCGTCCGCTCCGCGAGTTGGCGGTCCAGCCCACAGTCGTGGCCCCCTCGGCCTCTCCCTGCGCTCCTCGCTCGAGAGCCGACCCCCCGACGTGCCACGGTGCCCCCTCTCGCCCGTGTTGCCCCTACTCTGGCACGCCCCCGGCTCCCGCCGCTCCTTGCCTGCACTCCTGGGTGGTTTCCGATTGTTTGCAGCTGCCCTTTTTTGCGGGCCAGGCTCCCGTCTTCCGGGAAGGCGGGAATGTCGCGGCGTTGTTCCTGGCTGACCGTCGAGCAGTTTCCGCTCTCAGTTCGCGCGTCGTTTGACGGTCCCATTGGTCTAAAGTTCCTCATGTGGGGGGCGGGGGGCGCTCTTCATGTGTTCATTCCCTTCGGGACCCCACCCCTGCGATCCAAGCCTGCAGCCCTTACCCGCTGCATCTGTCTCGGCCACCCTGGCCGCCCTGTGATGCTCCTACTCCCCAGTCTGCGTCCCTGCCCAGCTCGGCGGGGCCCAGGTGATTTGATCGGGCTGGGCCTGTGCCGTGTGCCCTGCGGCACCCCGTGCCTCCGCCACCCCAGTCGAGCTGGGCCAGTGCACTGCGGCAGGTGGCGCCCGTCTCAGATCTCCACCGCCAGAACATGTCATATCCACCGCCCCGCAGCCGTGCCTCGGGATCTCGAGGACGATCCCAGAAGGGCGGATACATGGACATCTGCGCGGCCCAGACGGGAAAGCATCCACATCCACCGCTCCCCAGTGAGCAGGGCGGGATTCAAGCAGCCGTGGAGGTGGACCCAGACGTCTGATGTCTTGATCTTTTCGATGCGGGGTCCCCGGACGTCCCGCCCCTTCTCCCAGGGGGGGCCCGTGTTCATCCCGAGTCGTTTTTTTGACTGCCCCCAGGGCTTGGTGAGTGCCTTTCGGGGCAGAAAGCGACCCCAAGCCGCACGATGCTATTTTTCACAGTGCGAGTATGTCTGGGGATGTCCACTGGCGGGGCGTGCTCGCTGCGATGCGCGGTGGCTGCGACGCAGCGCCGCTGCCCGTGCAACGCGCGCGCGCGCATCGCGCGCCAGCCGCCGGGATCTCGTCGGCCGCGCCGCCGTGAACGCGGCCGGTGAATGAGAGTCCGTCCACCCCTTTCCTCGCTCAGGGAGGCCGTGGCATCGTTGGTCGGCAGGGTCCCGCCGCGGCCGCGCGCGACCGCGGCCGCTCTCGCGCCACAACTCGCCAAAAAGAGGAGGGAGGGGGAGGGGGAAGAGGAACAGGAGCGAGGATATGTAGGAATGTGGGGGATGAGGAGGGAGGAGTGAGGAGGAAGGAGGGAGGAGGGAGGAGGGAGGAGGGAGGAGGGGGAGGAGGGGGAGGATGGCAAGCTAGGTGCGCTCGCGTCATATCTGACGTCCTACCCCTCCCTCCCATCCCTTACCATGGCGCTGATTTTCTCTATCCGCGGACGCGTGTCGTAGCGGACCTGTGGCTCCGCGCGCGCGTGCGTAGTGGGTGGTGGTGCGCGTGCGTGCGTGCGCGTGTGTGCGTGGTGGTGGTGGTGGTAGTGGTGGTGTGGTGGTGGTGGTGGTGGTGGTGATGGTGGTGGTGGTGCTGCTGGTGGTGGTGGTGGTGGTGGTGGTACTGGTGCTGGTGCTGGTGGTGGTTGTGGTGGTGGTGGTGGTGGTGGTGGTGGTGGTGGTGGTGGTGGTGGTGGTGGTGGTGGTGGTGGTGGTGGTGAATGGGCGCGCGAGAAAGAGGCCCGCGCTGGGGCGAGAACGCCGTCCTGAACGACGGAGGCCAAACACCGATCCGAAAATGAGGCCCACGCTGCAGCGGGAGCACGATTCGGAACGATTCGGGAGCAGAAATGAGGCCGGCGCCTCAACGAGAGCAGCATTTTGGGAAAAAATGACGCCGGCGCCTCAGCGAGAGTCGTTTCCCGGGATTTCACGGGAATCCTGTGTGTAAAAAAACAGTACGCGGAGGGTGCGCGGCCATCACCCGGACGCCATCGGGGGCAGAGGGAGAGTATTTTCATATTGAGTAATTGTGGAGGAGGGGGAGGGGGAGGAGGGGGGGGGGGAGGAGGGGGAGGGGGAGGGGAGGGAGGGAGGGGGAGGAGAGGGAGGGCGAGAAGAGGAGGAGGAGAAGGAGGAGGAGGAGGAGGAGGAGGAGGAGGAGGAGAGGAGCAGGAGGAGGAGGAGGAGGAGGAGGAGGAGGAGGAGGAGGAGGAGGAGGAGGAGGAGGAGGAGGAGGAGGTGGCGATCGGCCAGGAGGAGGGGTTGGAGGAGGAGGAGGAGGAGGAAGAGGAGGAGGAGGGGAATGCGAGGCGATGGTGAGCGGTAGTGAGCTGAGCTCACGTACAAGGCGAGATCAAAGATGATGATGAAGAAGAGGAGGAAGAGGAGGGCAATGGGGAGCAGTAGGAGGAGGATGCACTCCCGCGTCGGGACGCACCACGAAGAGAAGCCCCCCCCAGACCGCACCTCTGAGGCGTCCTCCCGGGTCTGCGAATAGTCCTCTCTTTTACCTAACTCTTGCAGTCCACCTCCTCCTTGCTATCGCTCCATTCATCCTCCTTCACCCTCGCTCCCCTCACCCCCCTTCCCTTCATCCTCGCCCCCTCCTCCCCATCCTTCTCACCGTCTGCCATCCCCGCGCCCTTCGCAGAGCGGTTTTCTCCCTAGTCGTTCTTTCCCCTTCTTCGCGATCTTCCCATTTCGGCCTCTCCATATCCTCTGCCCCCCTCTCGCTTTTCTCATCCCCGCGGGAGGCGCGCGCGACCGTGAAGCTTCCCTCTGCCCATGCGGAATTGTGTCGGGTCCAATCTTCGATGGTGCAGCTCTTGCAGGCCTCTGTTCAATGCAAGGCAGCGGCGCCAAAGGCGGCACTGCACATTAATTTTCGCACGGGCGCGGTGGCAGTGGCCCTGCCATTGCTGTGCAGCCGTTACCAGGAGCCGTGCTTTGGCGATGCAAACGGATCGAACTTGCAGAGGTGGTGGACGGCAGGCTGGGAGAAGGGGAGAGAGTGCTGGAGGGGGAGGAGGATGGGGAGTGGAGGCAGGAGCAGGAGTAGGAAGAGCAGGGAAAAGGGGTGACGGGAAGAGGTGGAGACAGAACAGCAGGAGTAGGAGGCAGAGGAGGAGAGGTATGAAATGAAGGAAGCAAGGAGGGCAGGACGGAACGCGGAAACAATTATTTGCCAACCATCGCGATTCATCTTGCCGCTTGGCTTTTGCCTAGGCCCTAGGCCCAGTCCCCTGCTCAGTTCCGAACACGCATGTGTGCTGTCCTGCATGTGCAGCAGCGGGGTCTGCACAGGGCAGCACAGGGGGACCTCGGGGGAGCAGTGTAAGCCGCCTTTTGCCGCAGGCGTGTGGCACGTGTTTGGCGATCCTCTCCTCCCCTGCCTCCTCTTCCTCCCTCCTCCGTCCTCAGGCGGGGCGCGCGCGTCTCCGGCATTCGCTTTGCTTCGCTTCGCTTCCTCGCTTCGCTTCGTCTCGTCCGTCCTTCTGACTCTTTTTCGTACTGCCTTGTCCAGCGGCTCGTCAGGCATTGCCGCATGCTGCGCCATGTCTGCCTGACCGTGCTCTTCGTTCCGGCGCTGGCGTGGCTCCTCTTGCGAGCGAGGTGGGCGTCATTTTGCCACCAACTTGGGTTGGAGAGCAGTGGAGCGATCAATAGGAAATCGGCACGGGAAAATCTGCGGCGTGTTGGGCGGTTCTTGCATCTTTGACCATTCACCATTCGATTCGTGTTGTCTTGTTGCGCTGTGACTGTGTCTGTTTGGAAGGTCCTTGGAGATCGGTGGCCCTCTGTTCCTTTAGTTGTAGCTTATCTTCGCGGCATGTTCGCCGCCGTTTCGGTACTGGTGTGTTTCTGGTACTGGGTGGTTCAATGCGTGTGGGGTGTCCCGCCAGTCCGAAAAGATCGTATGAACCGATTGCAGTTGCTGACGCTGCGAAGTGCGTGCTTCGAGAAAATGGCTGATTGAAGATGATGCCCCCAGGCACTTGCTATGGATTGGCAGTCTTGACCCAGCACAGCTAAGCTTGGAAGGTTTGACTTGGAGCCTTGTTCTTCCCATGGTCGCTCTCGCTCTCGCCACTGTGAATTCTCGAAGTTGCATTACCATAGCATGCCCATTTCTCGGAGCATCCGACCGATCTATGTTCGTTCATATGCCGTATGCCGTATGCACTTCGCAATATTTCCCCTGCTCGGTTTTCGGACTTTGATGCGATTGTCTGGCGAATGGTGGATCTTGGGCTGTCATGTCTCGCTGTTGTGGAAGGGTCAGCTTCGTTGTCAAGCTCGTTTCATCGGCTCCTCAGCTTCGCTATCTGCCTCGTTCTGCTAGCGCAGTGCAGCCTATATTGCCTGATTACCTCTTAAGCAACCACACAAGCACTGCGTGTACGTAGTTTTCGTGGTGTCGTATTAGTGACAGAGTATGGCAGCATCAGTTTGTGTCGCCCGTGACTGTTCAAACCCGCTTTGGGTGTCGCGCTGGGCCGCCCGATGTATTATGTAAGTCATTTGTTGGGAGTCATTTTGTGGGGGCGTCGCCATTCCATGTCACCTTGGCGGGCGAGGAGGGAAGGTGCAGAGGAGGTGGAGGATCATAACAAGCAGGCGGAAGAGTAGCTGGATGAGGCGGAGGAGAGTAGGAGGAAGAGGCGGATGAAGAGGGGGCGGAGTAGTTGCGGGCTTCTCCGAGTGTGGGCGCTGTAGTTGTGTTCCCTACTCGTGTGCCCGTTTTGCGGGCTGTGCTGCGTGGATCTCGCATGACCTGGGCTGCTTCATCTCTGGATGTGCGGTAAACTTACGATGGGCACGTCGAACAAGCTGGGGGCTGTGGCTTCTGGGAATGTTCCGGAATTATCTTCGAGACAGCAACCTTTACCTTTTTTCGGGCGCCTCGAGCCGTTGTGCTACGCGACAGGTGTACACGATAGCCGAGCCATCTAACTGGCTTTGTGTTCACCGCAGTCTGGCGGAGCCCCTTGCCTCTCGCGGAGCAGCTTGCTGTGCTGGGGTCGCCCAGGAGGCATGCGTGCTTTGTTTTGTTTTTTTGGACAGTCCTCTGCGCGCCCCCCGCCAAAAAGCAGTGTTCTGTTCGGGCTTCGCTCCCTCCCTTGCCAGATCAGCGATGGGCGCTTGCCGCGGCGTTTCTGAAGTGCAGGTCTGTGCAGGCGCGCGCGTGCACGCGATTCCCGCCAAGCAGCCTGCGTGGGTGGATGTACAACTATCGGCGGTATTCAATTTCATGTGTCCGCCTCGTTGAAGGACTTGTCTGCCTGTGGACTTCCAAGATGGAGTGGGCGTGCCGTGTTCTGCGCAAGTGCTTTTCTCGAGAGGCGGTTGGCCCCTGCAGGTGCCGCCGTGCTGGTCACAGGTGCCGCGTCGGGCGTGGGGCTTGAGGCGGCCAAGTTTGCATGCAGCGGTGGCGCTACGGTCCTCGTCCACGCTCGCAACAGGAGGGGTTTCGAGGGAAGATGCACGATGACCGTGACCAATGTGTTTCGGGATCTTGTCGATGCCGATCTTGGTCATGGTCCGTGCTGGCCGTCGCCGATTCGCGAGGATGCTCAACGAACTGACGATGACCCAGATGGACAAGGACCAAGATCGACACCGACGTTTCCGCGTTCAGTTCTGGTAATGGTCACCGTTTTCTTTCTCCAGGGTCGTTTGGAAAGTGTAATGTAACCTTGTGCTGCCGCTTCCTGCCTCCTCCAATTGTAAAGGATTCCATGCCGAAAGAAGACGTCGTGGCAGGACGGGGCTGCGTCCCTATCTCGTGCTCTCGCCAACCCCCCCTCGAACTCGGTGCCGTGCTTCTTGAGAGCCTCAAGGGGGGGCTCTCGGAAGCCCCCTGGGGGCTTCGTGGGCGGTCTCGTGGAAGCCTCGTGGTCCGTCTTTGGGCAGATCTGACGGCCTCCCTTTCCATTTCGGGGTGTCAGTGGAGGTCCGGTCCAGCCAGGGCCCCTCGCTGGCCTGTGGGCGCCACGCGAGCGGCCATCGCGGGCACTTCGGGCGGTGTCTCCTCCTGCTCCTCCTCCCCCCTGTCCTCTCCTCCTGTCTTCTCTATCTGCTCCTCTCCTCCCCCCTGTCCTCTCCTCCTGCTCCTCCTCCCCCCTGTCTTCTCTTCCTCCTCCTCTCCCTCGTCCCTCCTCCTCCGCGCCCTGCCCCTCCCCGTCCACTCTGCAGTGCTGCTTTCCTCCGACAGTGCTTGTTGCAAGGTGGCCCTCTCTTTGTCTGCAGAGGCAGTGGATATGCTGGTGGCGAATGTGCCGCTCTTGCCTCGGTGCTCTATGGGCGGCGCTCTGTAGTCCTGTGCTGTTTCTGGAAGGGCGCTCGCGCAGCGCCCTGGGACTGGGGGGCCCCAGCTTCCAGCTGCCCCCAGAGCTACCCAAACCCCCTCCCCCATTTTGTCTGGATTTTGTAGCTGGGGGGTCCCTGGCTAAAGGAGGGGGGCTTGAAAGCTACAGCGCCCCCCCTTTTCGGGGCCTGGGGTCAGCACTGGCTTTCCTTTCCAAAGGAGGGGGGGGGGCTTCCGAAGCTGCTCCCTCCCCCCTTCTGTTGGTGTTTCCAGCTGGAGGGCCCTGGCTGAAGGGGGGGGCTTCAAAGCAACCTTTCCCCGTTGGTTTTTTTGGCCCCCCCTTTTGGTTTTCGGCGCCCTGGAAGTTTTCGGCGCCCTTTTGGTTTTTGCCCCCCCCCCCCCCCCCCCCCCCCCCTTGGTTTTCTGCGCCCTTTGGGTTTTCGGCGTCGCTCTGGTTTTCGGCGCTCCTGTGGTTTTCGGCGCCCCTTTGGTTTTCGGCGTCCCTTTGATTTTCGGCGATTCTTTGGTTTTCGGCGCCCCCATGGTTTTCTGCGCACCCTTTGGTTTTCTGCGCCCCCTTTTCGGTTTTCGGAGTTTTTTTTTTTTTTTTTTCCTTCCCCCGGCGCCCATTTGGTTTTCGGCGCCCTTGTGGTTTTCGGCGCCCTTTTAGTTTTCGGCGCTCCTTTGTTTTGCGTGCCCCTTTGGTTTTCGGCGGCCTTTTGGCTTTCGGCGCTCCTTTGGTTTTCGCTTTGGTTTTCGGTGCCCTTTTGGTTAGCGGTGCCCTTTGGTTTTCGGTGCCCTCCTTGATTTTCGGCGCATCGACACCCCTTTGGTTTTCGGCGCCTCTCAGGTTTTCGGCGCCCTTTTGGTTTTCGACGCGTTTTTGGTTTTCGGCTCCCTTTTGGTTTTGGACACCCTTTTGGTTTTCGGAGCTCCTTTGGATTTCGGCGCCTCTTTGGTTTTGGATGCTATTTTTGTGTTTTCGGTGGCCCATTTGGTTTTCGGCGCTCCTTTTTTGGGGGCGCCGCTCTGGTTTTCGGCGCTCCTTTGGTTTTCGGCGCCTCTTTGGTTTTCGGTGCCCCTCAGATTTTCGGCGCCTCTTTAGTTTGACGCCATTTTTGTGTTTCGGGGGCCCATTTGGTTTTCGGCGCTCCTTTTTTTCGGCGCCGCTCTGGTTTTCGGCGCTCCTTTGGTTTTGAGCGCCCCTTTGGTTTTCGGCGCCTCTTTGATTTTCGGTGCCTCTTTGGTTGTCGGCGCCGCTCTGGTTTTCTGTGCATCCTTTGGTTTTTGGCGCCTCTCCGGGTTTCGGCGCCTCTTTGGTTTTCGGCTCCCTTTTGGTTTTCGGCGCTCGTTTTGTTTTCGGAGCACCTTTGGTTTTCGGCGCCTCTTTGGTTTTTGATGCTATTTTTGTTTTCGGTGTCCTTTTGGTTTTTGTGGCACTTTCTGTTTTCGGCGCCGATCTGGTTCTCGGCGCTCCTTTGGCTTTCGGCGCGCCCCTTTGGTTTTGGCGCCCCTTTGATTTTCGGCGCTCTCGAAATTTTCGGCGCATCTTTGGTTTTCGGCGCCCCTTTGGTTTTTGCGCCCCTTTGGTGTTTGGCGGCCCTTTGGCGTTCGGCGCCTCTTTGGTATTCGCCGCTCCTTCAGTTTTCGGCGCCCTTTTAGTTTTCGGCGCTCCTTGAGTTATGATAGCCCCTTTTGTTGTCGGTGTCTTTTTGGGTTTCGGCGCCCCTTTGTTTTTCGGCGCTCCTTTGGTTTTCGGCGCCCCTTTTGGTTTTCTGCGCGCCGGTTGGTTTTCGTCGACCTGCAGGTTTTGTGCTAATTTCCGATGTCCTTTTGGTTTTCGGCGCTCCTTTTGTTTTCGGCTCCCTTCCTTTTGGTTTTCGGCGCGCTTTTTGGTGGCGCGCCTTTGGTGTTCGGCACAATTTTGGTTTTCGCCGCTCCTTTGGTTTTCGGGGCCTTTGGTTGTCGGCGCTCTTTGGTTTTCGGCGCCCCTTGGGTTTTCGGCGGCTGCCCTTTTGGTTTTCGGCGCCTCTTTGCAATATGGCGACAATTTGGGTTTCTGCGATTTCTTCGTGTTCGGTGCCGTTTTGGTTTTCGGCGCTCCTTTGGTTTTCGGCGCCTTTTCGTGGTTTTCGGTGCCCACTTGGTTTTCGGCGCCCCTTTGGATTGTGGCGTTCTTTAAGTTTTCGGCGCTTCTTTGGTTTTCGGCGCTCCTTTGGTTTTCGGCGCTCTTTCGGCTTTCGGTTGCCGTTTGGTTTTCTACGTTCTGTTGATTTCTGCGCCCCTTGGTTCTCTGCGCTTTCTAGAGGGAGGGGGGCCTCCTGGCAGGGGGGGGTCCAACGAGAGGTGTCGGGTCGCTGAGCTCTCTCTCCCTTTTTTTTGGGAGGGCGAAAGAGTGGAGGGCGAAAGAGTGGAGGGTAGCTCTGGAGGGCGAAAGTGTGGAGGGGGGGGCTCTCGCAGGGCGGATTGAAGGGGTGTGTGGGGGGGGTCGGACATGGGCGGACCTAGGGGGGAGCTATGGCCCCCTGTCCCTCTCCCCTTTGCTCCAGTGTTGCGCACGCGCGGTTTCTCATTTCTGTGATGGGTGTGATTTCCGCGTCTCTGCCGCGTGCTCTGTGGGTGGTGCTCTCCTTGGCTTGTGCCCTTCGATGCCTTCGATGGGTGCGATGTCCACAAGCGTGCCTCGATGCCCCACGCGTTCAGGCGCTCCCAGGCGCTCCCAGGCGCTCCCAGGCGCTCCCAGGCGCTCCCAGGCGCTCCCAGGCGCTGCCAGGCGCTCCCAAGCGCTCCCAGGCAATCCCAGGCGCTCCCAGGCGCTCCCAGGCGCTCCCAGGCGCTCCCAAGCGCTCCCAGGCGCTCCCAGGCGTTCCCAGGCACACCCGGCGCTCCGATGTAACACGCTGTGCCCCACAGGGTGTGTTGTACGCCGTGTGCCCTGCGATGCCTTTGAATGTTGCGTTTTTGTGTTGCCGTTCGTGCAGTGGTGCTTCTGATTGGCGGTGCTCTATGACTGCTGTCCCTTGATGCTTGCGCGTTTGCGATTCTTCGCGTTTTGGTCTGCTGCTCTTTGTGGGTGGTGCTTTGTGCCTGCCGCGCTGTCATGACCTTGCCGTTTTCGAGTTTCCCGATCTTGCCCCGGTGCCAGACGGGCGGCGCTGTATCGTTGGCGCCCTGAGATGCCTTCTCTGGTTTCGTTAGTTTGGGCTCGGGTTTATTGTTGACCTGCTGCCAGGCGGGTTGTGTTAATGGCCGGTGCCCTGCCTAGTTTTTTGTTGTTGTTGTTGTTGTTGTTGTTGTTGTTGTTGGTGTTGTTGCTGCTGCTGTTGTTGTTGCTATAAATTTAGGGAGAAATTCATGAACAATGCGACTATTTATTATTACTGTTCTTCTTCTTCGTCTTTGCTCAATTCTGTTATTCTTTTATTTTATCTCGTTATTGTTATTAGTACTATTATGATTACAATGAATATTATTATCATCATTTTTATTATAGTGATTGTTATCATGAATATCATTATTATTCGTATTAGTATTATATACACATAGATACACACATATACATATATACATATATAATTACTGTGGCGTTTCACGATATTGCTGTGGCGTTCTGTTGCTGGTGTTGCCTGGGTGGCACCCTGCGATCCCTGTGGGAGGCTGCGTTTCTTCACTTGGCGTGCCTGGGGCTCTACTGGTGCTCTTGCGGGGGTGTCCTCTGGCTCCATCGGTGGGGCGCCGAAGTGGCGCCAAAGTGGTAGACCAATCAAAACAATCTACAATTTTGCTCTACGTGCTCCAGCGGCGTTCGGGTTCGCGCGTGGCCGCCCTCCGCGGCCACTCGCCGCCCCCTGGCGTGCCGCGCCCCGGCTCAAGCCATTTTGGCTCAAGCCATTTTGGCTCAAGTCTTTCGAGAGCTGGGTGCGATGGTCGTCGGGCGGTGTTAGTGTCGTGGGGCGCCCTTGGTCGTCCCGGCGGGGCGGGCGCGGCGCGCCGGCAATGGGCTGTGGGCGGCTCCACCCCTGGGTGTACCTCTTGGGGGGCGTTGTCTGTCGGCGTCCACTCGGGGGCGTCGGGAGGGAGCGCCGTCCGGAGCTGCGCCCAGAAATCCTCGTTTGCATTGTGGCCTGCTGTAGCAAGGTTGTTGCGGATGCAAGG